AGATATACAAGCTGTATGTGAAAGTCGTGTTCAATTTACTCTTCAGAAATTATTTCTGTACTGTTAGTAAATGCTGTGGGGCAATTACTTTGGCTGCGGGAAGGTTTTTCCTGCTCTTCAGGCATGTTTATCACCTTGATACCTTTTACATAGTCTAATGATTCTGTGCTAATCTTCAAACCCAGGAGCTATAGTTAGTGAATAGAAACTGTGCTGGAGAATTGCTGCACTGATGGGCTGCTAATGCGGTTTTGTAAACGAACAGGGTGCTTTAAAAGTTTATGTTGAATAGGTGACCTTGAAATTGCAATACTGACCTCTGTGTATATTCTTGGTCTAGTACTGAAAATGGGAGATATTGAGAAGGGCAAGAAGATCTTTGTGCAGAAATGTTCCCAGTGCCATACAGTTGAAAAGGGAGGCAAGCACAAGACTGGACCCAACCTGAATGGCCTGTTTGGACGCAAGACTGGACAGGCTGAGGGCTTTTCTTACACGGATGCTAATAAGAATAAAGGTAAACTTAAAACTGTTTTTATGACTTACTAGGGACAAAAATACTCAGTTCTCGGTGATAGTTCTAGAAGTACTGAAATCTGCCAAAAAGTAAAATAATATGGAGGACAATAATATAAATATATTTGTTATTTTGAAGTCACTAACTATCTTTTTTCTTCTCTCTAGGTATCACCTGGGGTGAGGATACTCTGATGGAGTATTTGGAAAATCCAAAGAAGTATATCCCAGGAACAAAGATGATTTTTGCGGGTATTAAGAAGAAGTCTGAGAGAGCAGACTTAATAGCATACCTCAAAGATGCCACTTCAAAGTAAAAGTTATCTGCTGCCTTATTTATTTCACAAAGGAGATGGCAATGGAAATGTCTGTGATGAGATTGGTTTTTAAACTTTCTATTTTTACATGTACTGTGTTTAACCTTAAAATCTGTCTCACCCATCAGATAACGTTGCTCACGGTGGGTCACTGGAGTACACGCTTGTTTGGCAGCCATTAACTTAATGGAAACTATGTTATTGGGTTGATTTAAATGACTATAATGTTCAGTCATTCTTGATCATAGAATTAAAAAAAAATAAATAAGCATTTCCTGCCTCTTCATTGTTTAAAAAAAATAAATTCCGTAAGTAATCAAATGAGTAATTGTCAATAGCATAATAGCTTTGACAGCCCAACTCTTCCAGATTAAAAAGCAGGGTGGTTTTTGGCATCTTCCACCATGCATCTTCTGTTACATTACTTTAAAGATTTAAAAAAAAAAACCAAAACAACAAAGGCTAAAAAAAAACCCCTCAAGATAATATTTTTCTAAATTTAATCAGTGCTAGGTGTTGTGGTATGTATTAATCTGTCTAAAGCTTGCAATAAGAATGCATTTCATCTGACTTTCACATTCGTGAAATGGCAGTTGTGCCCAGCCACTTTTATCTAGGGGAAGCATGTTACCCAATTTATCCAGACTTTGACAGCTGCATGCACTGGTAGACTACAACTCCCCTTCAGAAACATATTCAGTTTTGTAAATGTTACTGAAACCCTTTTTTCAGTAAAAAAACAGCCATTCTTGGTGTAATGAATAGAACAGAAAAACATCTTGTTCTAGAAATACAAGTGCTAAAGACCAATCTGAGAGTTAAGATTTAATAACTCAGCAGAAGCACTCGCCTAAACTCTACTTTTACAGGCAAATTCAGATGAAGGGGTACAGGAATGCACTGGTAGACTAAAAGGAGACAGTCTTCCTCTGTGCCTGGCTGTAGCCAATGTCATTACTTCTCAAGGTTCTGTTTCGCACAGTGTAAAGCGGTATTTTTAATGTTTTAACTGCATTTTTTTTTCATACTAAGTGAATTGTTCAGATGAATGTATTTACTGTGTACCAACAGTAAGGCATAATTCAGAGCAATCAATACTGTAAATTAAAAAAAAAATAAAAAGTCTTGTTTGCTGTATGTGTCTGAAATTAAGTGAAAAACAGGGGGAATGTAGAGAAAAGTTGTGAGTCCAGCTTTACATGATTAGGAAACAAGGCAAGCAAAAGCTCAGCACAGAAAAAAGTAAATGCTAATGGAGTTGGTGTGAAAAGTACTTAACAAGTGTGGTGAAGTTAGAAAGTATTTTGGACTAGAACTAGCAAAGCTAAGCCCTTCTGCCAGTGTTCTCTTTAGCAGCACTTTTGCTGTGATCCCTGAGTGGGCAGGAGAAAACTCAAAGTAGCTTGAAAGCTGTAGCTGTGCTGTAAGATTGTTTGGGTTGAGTAGAATAGTGACTGAGTTGCAAAGGCCTGTTATTCAGAATTAATGAGCAAAAAGAATTAAGATTGCTAACAAGTTGTCTCAATGGTTGCTACCGTATGCTTTATGACTTTTTTTCAAACTAAATGTGCAAGCAGCATTTCCTGCAAATGGCAAGGCAGACTTAATATTAACCAATGGCAGCTTCTTTACTAAAAGCTTGTTAAGAGATGCCTTGAAGTTGTAGTTAATGATTGTTGTCATTTTCAGAAACAATGTTCATCGTAGCATCTTTATGGCTGTGCTTTCACTGTGTCAAAATCCTGATAAGGATAGTCATAGATATAGAATGTAACCTTGCAAGCTCTGCAGTCTTCTGAAATTATTATGGTGGATTGCATGGAGAGAGTTGTGATGCTTTCTGTTCTGTCAGCACCTTTATGAGATGGCAAAAAACTGTGATCTCCAAGCTGCTGCTCTTCCCTCGTTGAGCTGGAGAAGAAACAGAGAAGAGGATTTTGCAGTAAGGTGGCATTTAGTTCTGCATCGGTGACAATTTACAAAAAGTAAGTTATCCATCATCACAAAACCTTCAGGAAAAAGCAGAGTGATGCTTTGTCCAAAGTAAGCAGGGGTGTAATTTAGCTTTGCTTGTTCTGTATACCTCAGAGACCTTGGTACAAAGACAAGTGCAGCTTATACATACCGCAGAACATGGAGAAAACTGAACGTTTCAATTCTAGGCTGGGGATGCACCCTTGTTTATGTTTCAGGGAGAAGACCCTTCTGACCTTTAAAATTCCATCTTTATCTCTAGAGCTTTAGACAGCAACAGTTTATAAAATTTGTTGTAGTAGATAACTAGCAGCCATTTATCATTGGATAAACGCAATAGTATTTCTACTAGTGGATCAGTGAAGAGCATTGAAACAGAAGAAGGTTAGATTATTTCTTGTCGAGGTAAGTGTTAACGCAAGTGCCTGCGTGGGTTTTTTGGAGGGTGGGAGGGAGGTGTCCTGATTGGTTGTGGAATCAAGCTTTAGTTCTTTGACTTCTAGTTATAGAGTAGAAGTGGGGTTTGCCTTTGTTTTATGAAGTAGCAAGTTCAGTGTTTTTCTTTCTGATAGTGTTATCAGTCTAGACGTTTAGTATTTCCTTTGCAGTTCCAAATTAGGAAATTGAGGTACCATTGCCAAACACTCCACCATCCTGGAGTTCTTGGCTATGAGTTTACAGGTTTGCTGGGGCATGCCTTTAAAACTGATCTTGGAACATTTTCACATGTAGTTATGCAAACGCATGAAGATTGTCAATGTCAATAATGACTGGAAAAAAAGGTAAAATTCAAAAGTACGCTTTTTCACAATATGACTTTCCTACCTATTTAATTTTGGTTTTGAATACTCTTAAAATTCTAGAAGTCATTATTTATTCATCCCAGTGAAATACAATGATACAGAAGTTCTTTTTTATTTAGTCTTAACAATTCAAGTGTAATTGCTGTACAAACAGCAACATTTGTGGAAGTCCCATTCGTAGCCATCCATGCAATTATCACTTCAGTTAAAGATATGTTCATTTTAATAGAACTAGTCTTGTGTATGTTTGTACAATGCTTCCCTTTTTTTGTATGAAATATAGTATCAGTGATCCAAAACAAGTGTGATACATTGTACTTCTGTTACAGAAATTAAACAGCTAATAGTTAAGAACTATTAGATGTTATAGTCTCTCAGGTATATCAAAGGTCATTAAAGTGCACACATTTACCTCTGTAGTAAGCCTCATCATTTGCCTTTACCTAGAAAATATGCTAAAAGCTTTTCCAGGGCCAAAGCCAACAGAAGTCTTTGTGTTACTGCATATAGGATGAGTTGAACCATTTCAAATTGGTGTCCTGAAAACCAGGTTATTCTGGGAGGGGAGCAGCCCAGAATTAGCGGTAGGAAACATTAACCCTGGGGAAGGGTATGAAATCCTGTCCCTTCCCAGTGCTGTAGTGGCTGAGTCAGGGCTCCAGGTAATTAGCACCATCTGTTCATGATTCAGAGCTTGCATGTAAGTACTTGCATGTTTTTTTCCAGGATTGTTCTTTTGGTTTGAAATACAGAAAATAATGATGGTCACCTTTTGAATAATTACTTTCTGGTTAGAGGTCTTACAGGAGGTAGGAGATGTGGATGACGTTTGCTTCTGTGACAGGATACAGATTCACATCCCTGAGTTTCCAGAAGGCTGCATTAACCACCAAACCCAATGTGTGTGCAGGGAAGAAGATGCTCTATACCTCTGTTGGAGCTGGCATTATGCAAAAGGAAAGCCAGAAAGAAAATGAGCAAAGGGGGAGCTAACTATGGCATAGTGTTCAAAACGCATACCTTGGAGCAGGGAAGAAGGTGTGTTCTTTCCAAGTTGTTTATGCATTTAATTTTCAACAGTCTTGGATAAAAATAAACCTGGCAGTGGAGATCAGAAGTCATTACTCTGCTGGTTTTACATCTCATTAATGCTGTTCACTGCAGCTTGCTCAGGCAACGTGAGCCTCTGCCATGTTCCTTTCAGGATCACCCACTCTCCAGATGCATTTTCCCCTTCCTCATTCTCCACGTGTTAAAACGTATTTTTGTATGTAAGGCTGTGCTGTCCCTGTCTTACCACACTGCCAGTCTTTTGGTCATAAGCACTCAAAAGCTGTTGACAGAAACATTAAGTAGTATTCTCATCCTTAAAATAATCTGCAGAAATTCGCTGCTGATGTCCCTATTAAGTCATGACTGTCTGGTGACAATTTCTTTTTAAGATGTTTGATGGTTCTTAATCTATGTGACATTGCTTTTTATTGATGTGTTTTAATTCTATATTTTTAACAGAGCTAACTAAAGCAGGTAGAGTTTAATGTGGCTTTTACCTGCACTATGTCTCAGGACATGGGCGGTTTTTTTTACTGTGACATGCAGCATGATGATGTGAACTCCCTGATGTGTAATCCTTCAAGACAAGTAGGAAAAGTGCACCACATACACTGAATTTTAAGAACATAGTTGGTGTCACCTACATATCACTGGTAGCCTCAAGAATCTGGTGCTCTGACCCAGGTTTCATTGCAGGAATGTGCCTACACTGACTGTAACCAGCCATCCCCTGAAAGAATTTCTTGCATTTTCCTTCCACTGCTGATTCATTGTTTGGAGCCCAGAGAGAAATGGGAATCAGACTTCATATCTTACCATGTTTCCTATAGGACTCTGTCATTTTATTTCCATTTATTTTGTCAGTTTACCTGCTACTGATATTAGCTGTGAAGTTCTTCCAGTGTTATTTTTAAAGAAAAGGTATCACATTTTCAATTCCACAGTTTTTTGCCGTAGTGAATTATTTTAATTCTCACGCACAAATTATCACTCATTCTCTTCTTATTTTATGAGTTATTGTTACAATTTATACTTCTTTTGTATTGGCCGAACTGCAGGCAGCTTCTTGTACTTTACTATTCAAATGTATTCTTTAATTTACACATCTCTTTAGTCTGTCGTGGACTGTTTGTTAAAGTTTTCAGGTAATGGCTTTACTTGAAAAATTCTTCTTTCATTGCCTTTTTCATTGTTTAATTTTTTTTTAATTTGCTGAAAAGGCTTCATTTTTTAACTATCCCTCACCCAATGACATTATATTTCATTATTTTGTATACACCACTGTTTTGGACCCAGCTATTCTTATGTATTGAACAAGGATGGTGTCCTTCACATGGATAGCTGAGAAACAGTCTTTTCTTGTGAGCCTCAGAAACATGCTTCCAAAAAGCAATCATGAGAAGTGCTGAGCATCTTCTGTCCCTGGCCCTAGTTGATC